TGTGTGTGTGTGTGTGTGTGTGTGTGTGTGTGTGAGAGAGAGAGAGAGAGAGAGAGAGAGAGAAAGAGAGAGACCAATCTAACCAACTGCGCGCCCCGTGCCCTCCCCCCCACATGATAGCAGAATTGCGGATCTCCCGACATCTGAGAAAGAATATTTTTGGTTAGCGGGAGACAGGTATGCAAAGTGTGACACACACAACAGGTGAGTCCAAATCCGGACAATCACCAACCCAGCAAACCACAAGTGAAAGGATTGCAAACTGTGATCAGTGTTTGACAGGACAAAAAAGCAATATATTCGTTTGTTGTCCTCTTCTCTCTCTCTGCCTACGGTTTACCGGGCAGTTCTATTTGTGACGATATATATATTTTGCTTTTATTCTTTGTTCCGCAAAGTGCGCTCTTTTAGTTTGTAGTGATGTGACAATATATATGTATATATATACCCAAGGCTTACAAAGCAGCAGCAGCATTCCATCGGCAGTGTCAACAACAATGCACTAGTGAGCCTAGTAACCACCCCGACCCCACCCAAACCCACACCCGACCAACAAACCCCTATCCACCCACAGGTAACCTTGTGACCAGAATATAATCATTCTGAATAATCTCAAGGCCGTCGCCCTTCAAACAAAATAAAAAATAAAAATAAAAAACGGAATATACCAGGTGCGAGGCCCAAGGCCTCGATCTGTCCTATCGGGCTCTATTTTCTGTACAGTCGGCCGCCCTAAGTGAAGGCAGGCTCGACCCAGGGCCTACAGGCCTACTTTGGGGGTCACTGCGCAACTGGGCAATTTCAGGCAGTTGCGCAGCGCCAGTTGGTTGAGAGCGCCCAGGCCCAGGCTGCCTTTTTCCGTATGTAACTGAGGCAGGCCCTGGGGTAGATACGCAACATGGACCGAACACAGGCCGAGGGCAGTTGGACATGGGCAACCACCAGAGGCGCAGGGCCTGATTCATTAGGACTGGGGCACAGCCTCTCTGGCCCTACCGGAAGCTTCTGGGGAGGGGCCCAGCGCAGCCAGGCTCCACGCAGCAGGCAGGCAATTTCCATTGAGGAAAGTGCCTGCCCACGCATTCCTCATTCGGGCACTGGCTGCATGCTGCGCAGGCGCTGCTGTGCTAGACGCTGGCCAGCGCTCACGCACTCACGGGCGAGCTGGATGAGCAGGCAGCCATAGCCGAGCTGCGCTGCTGTATGCTGGATGGGGCTCATGGTGGTCCTTGGGTGCACGTGGCATCTGTGAGTGGGGGTTCGAGGTTGTGAGCGATACGAGAGACATACCTGGTGCTTGAAGCGAACGGCATTGGCCGAGGTCTGCTCGTACTTCGGGGGAGCTGTTGACATCACCAGCGGCATTGTAGATTAGGCTAGATAGGATCTGCCATGAGTAGTCTGGGCGCAGAGCGCCAGATAGGATGTCGACATTGGTTCGTTGTTGATGATGATGAGACTATTCCAACATTGTCACTTATGAGCTTTTGCTGTGTTCTTATTTAGTGGAACTCGTGTTGCAATTCTGCTTTCGGTTCGAGGTCACGACTATCTGGTCACATGTGTATGATGCTGCTTGGTTTCTGAAGTTTGCTATCGCTTATTTTCCTTGCACAGACAAAGGACTCCACCAAAAAAAAGAAAAAAAAGAAAAAAAAAAGAACGGCCATGCCCCACCACCCAAAGAATCAAGAAAGAGCTTTTTTGCTTTTGCTTCGGGCGTCATTTTGTTCTCATCCAGAACTTCGGTTTTGTTTTCCCTATTTTTCCCCGGGATTCATTTTGCTTCTGCTTTCACAGTTTTTGGTCAAGAATTCTGGGCGTGAAAATCGCCAGCATCACTGCGCACCCCAAGTTTCACGGCTGGTACGCATTCCAACACAACTTGTTTCCGTCGGGTAGTGGCGGTTGAAGTTGCAAATGAGAAGGGTTTGAACCCTCGAGGCTGGAATCTTCGACACTTGTTTCATTCTATACCCCACTTCCTTAAACCACCTCTGCATCCCAAAAGTCCGGGCCGATTCTTGCAGGTTGGCCGAACAAGTTATGGCCGCCGGATGATCAATCAACTTGCCAAGAGAGAAATGGTGAGACTCCCGGTACCCACGGTGCTCGTGGAAGACGGTGGCGGTTTATGAGGGGAAAAAAAAACATAGCGCTTTGGTCAACGCTGAGGTGCCCCGTTCTATTGGTGAGCGGTTGGGTATTGTGTGAAACACTTTTGAGTGTTTTTAGAGCCAGTGGCCTCTCTCTAAGGGTCAGGCTGCTGCTATGTTTATGCTTGTTAGGATGGCATGAACCTAGCCGTTACTACAGCCGGCTTCGTGCTTTCGAAGTGAGGCCTGTCCATAACGGTACCGGCTTTTTTTCGTTAGAATCCAAGCAATTTATTAGTTTTTTTACATGTTGTTGAAACGAACAGACGGTTGTTCTCCAGTTGATTTAAGAAGCCGACTATTTGTCATCCATTCTCTCGTCTCTGTTTTGCAGATGGATTTCATCATCGTGAGTCCCAATCTCTTCAGGGATATTCAGTTAGTGGGCATTGATCATTCTGTAAGTGTTTCGAACATTACTCGATCGGCTCTGGCCGCTTTGTTATCCATCACTCTTCTAGATTTCACCTGAGATTTTGCAACTGGTGGAAGTTTTGATCTCTGGACCTTCTTGTACTGGGTAAAGAAAGGGAGCAGGGTGCTCTGATCATTGGTGCCAGGAGGTTTCTTGGAAATGGCTGGGGAGGGAGGTGAGAACCTGCTTAGCCCTGATGTCAATAACCGCTGTCCGGTCGAAAATCACTAGAATGGCTGTTGATCCTGGGTATACAAAGGTAGGACCTTGAGAGTAGGGATCCACTGGGATCATGATGACGAGCAACGGTGGGAGTGTGTCTCATTGGGGACCAGTTAGGCAATATACATCAGGGTGATCAAATGGTCAGGTGCTTTTGGCCTGCCATATGCCTAGTAGCCAGCCTCTGCAACAACCTGGACTAGGTCGAGGCGAGGGTAATCGTGTGAAAATGTGGGCAGAGGGCTCCGGTGTATCACATTATTTGATCACTCTTTTTGTCCCTTTGTTTTTATGTTCTTTTCTTGACATATTTCATGCAGCTTGTATATGGGACGCTCGACCCGTTTTCCAGCAGCAGGTGATGCTCCCCACCAATAGACGGAGCCGCCCCCCCCAGGTGCTAGTGGTGTCTGCTCTTACCAGCATCACTAACACCGATGGGGACGCTCTTTGGAAAAAAAAAAAAAAAAGTTATTTTCTCTTGGCTCATGTTTTCTTGGAGAGATACCGCCCTTGACCTTCTCCTTCCGTCTTTCACCCGAATAGAAGGCCTGGTCATTATAGCTGTGTATTCGGGCCAACATTGAGTCTGGATACAGCCATAATGACCGTACGTTGTATTCGGGTGAAGATGGTAGCAGCAGCACGTCGAACCCTTGACTTGCTGATAGATGATCGCGTGTGTGTCCAGAGCGATTTAGATAACACCAGGGTAATGTGGCATGTTTTTCTTTTTTGGAGTTTTTACACTCGACTTTGGATCCAAGCTGATCTTTTGCTTTTTTTTTATGTGGTGTTGTCTGCGACGGCTTGTTTTTTTGTTTTGGTGTTTTAAGATTTTTTTTTTTTTTTTTTCCCCTAAAAATTGGACCATTTCTCGATTTATGCGTGTCATCCGTGCGCAGGGGCCATGCTAATCTTCTCTGTATCGTTCCAATTTTAACGGATGTCCCGAAGAACGAGGTGTTTTAAGTTTTAATACTCTCAACTTTCAAATTTCAGTCCAAGCTGATCCTTTGCCTTTTGATGTGGTTTTCTCTGCGACTTGCAGGTTAATAGTTCTGTTTCTAGCCATTATCCTGTCTTCGCCACATTTAATATTTCGCAATGGCCAGTTCCTAGCGAGGACCCCCCGGAGTTCTCTGGTAAGACGCGGCAGAGCTGTCATTTCCTACCCATCTTTTTTTTTTTCGCTTTGCAAACAATTCTCTTTCTATCGGTGGGGAGTAGTACCTGCTGAAAAATCCAGGTCCAGCATCCCAGAATAAAGATTGATACCCACTCACAATCCTTCCCCACGTTACGGCCTGGGTTGTTAACAGCACGTGTTGGAACCCATGTCCAACTTCCTTTGGGGTTTCCCAGCATGTGCTGGACCCGGTTCCCTGGGCCGTAACGAACATGAATAAAGATTTTTTTTTTTCCTTTCTTTTTTTTTTTTTTTTTTGAGATGTTCCAAATCTATTCGTCGGGAGCAACACGGCTAGAACCGGGCCCAGAGTCCCTTATGAAAGTACAGAATCATGAAATACCGGGGACATCACCCGGTTTCGACTAAGAACACTATAGATTATGAATACCCACTCACAGCTCTCCTCCACATGACGGCCGGGTGAACCCTGAGGGCATTGATTGCTTCCGCAAGGAAGGATTTCCTACCATCATGCGCCACTCTTGTCAGGGCTTCCTGGCATGAAAAGCAATTAGAAATCTTCCACAGATTGATACCTGCTCACAACTCTCCCCTCCGCATTCCGGCCCGGCGAACCCTGACGGCATCGATTGCTTCCGCAAGGAAGGATTTCCTTAATTTTCCTGCCATCTTGACATCCCTCTTGTTCAGTCTTCCTTGCATGAAAAGGAAATAGAAATCTTCCCATCCTCAAATTAATATTTATTTATATTTATTCATTACCACTTGGATGGAGTTCAAGACTTTCAGGACGAGTCGATGATGTTGCTTTCTCTGACGCGATGTGGAGTTGTCATTCATGTTTGGACTTCGATCTTGAGTTTTCAAAATCTGAGCATCGATGTTGAGCTGCTGCCACCTGAAAGAGACCAGACTCTCCAGCGCTATGTCACGATTCGGGTTGAAGAACGGATTGTTTGTTGCATGCCAACTTAGCGTTGCACCCTTCCCTCCTGATCATGAAAAACTGAAAAAAACTTAAAAAAATGTACAGCCATTCCAGCCCCGTTCTGGAGTGTGCGAGGGAACCACTCAGCAGAAACTCAAATCACAAATGCCATGAACTCTCTTGACCGGCATTGATATCGCAACCACGCTAGCAGAGGCGGAAAGGACAAAGAAGTGATCATGCCAGCTCAAGGAACAATCATTGAAGTCTCTCTCTGATGATGAAAATCCCCCTTCTCGCCTACCAACAATCGGTACAACAACAACACAGTTGGGGTATCTCTACCAGCTATTCTGCTCCATGGTACAACATCACAGTGTTCTATGCTGGTCCCACTGACGGTCCCACTGATGGTCCCACTGATGTCCCACTGATGGTCCCACTGACTCGTGCTCTAAGAACATGTCATGCCTGAGCTCTACTTGGCACACGCCAAGAAAGTCCCTCGCCTACTCCTCCAGTTATATAAAATCAGGTATATTTATTTATTTGTATAGTTATACTTATGTATATTTAATGATTGATATAGCCAATAAAAAAGTAAAGAATAACACTTTTTTTTTTTTTTTTTGGTACTTGCTAGATTCTCAAAATCACAGAAAGAGGTTTATATAATCTAAATTGTTTTCTTTAAAAAACAGAATAGAAATTGAAAGGATTTAATTTTGTGAGGGTTGCTAACTCAGTGGTAGAGTACTCTACTTTCAAGTGCGATTATGGGGTTAAATACATAATATGTAATAAATTTCTTTAACATAGCGGAAAGGGATCTGGGTAAACGTCTAAGTGCGAAACGAGGCAAAATTCAGCTTGGAATCACTGACCAAACAGTAGATGATTGGGAAGAATCGGTGAGTGGAAAAGACACTCCCAGGCAACCGTCAGGCTGGAATTCTATATGGTAACCCCGAAGACTTGCGTAAGAGAATTCGAAGCACTTACTCTAGGAATTGGTTCGCGGGTCATGAAAAAGTGTTGGTGAAACTTGCTAGAATAGAGGCTCCCATGTCCCAAGGGCCAAGACGCAAAACATACTTTTTTTTTTAGTACATAATTAGTGGAGTACGAGATCCCGTCTCTTTTTTGCGTGGACTCGCTAAAGTCAGGCCTTCGGGTTCGCCCACTTCGTCTCCTGAGGTTGCCTGGAAGTCCACGGGGGAAACTGATCGCTTGATCCAGTGAAACCCTGCCAAATAGGTAAGAGAACTCTTAAGCAAGTAGAGTTAGTGAGCCGTGTAATGGGCAACTATTTAAATTCGCACATCGGTTCAGAGGGCACTTCAGTAAGTCTGTGCAAATCAGATTGGAGTTTAGACCCTTATCCCTTTTGATGATGCCAGAAGTCGTTTTCATATACGATTTTATCATTTTACCTTGTGTCTATTCTATTTCTTATTTTTGGGGTGACCGTTTGAATCACCGTATGGAACTGCTCATTTGTTTGTCATGTGTTATATTATGAATTTTTGTTAGTTGAGGGAGAGCACTTGAAATAAACAATTTTGTATTTTGACTATAACCCTAGGTTACCAGATCGGACGTCCGGGACCCCCCTGACGGTCCGGGGTTGTCCGATCGGACAACTGGTCGGACGTCCTCCCCGGGCAGTCTGTCCGAGCCCTCAGAAAAATCTGAAAAAAAAGTATGTTATACAGAAAAATAAACTGAACAACTTTTGCCTTGGAATCATATCGAAATTCGCTGCCAATTTTAAAATAAAAAATAAAATAAAAATAAAAACCCTTTTTTTTTTACTTTTTTCGTGCTTTTAATTGCTAAAAATGGAGTTGTCCGGGCCCGGACGTCCGGGACTCCCCTGACTGTCGCCCAGGACGTCCGGCCAGGACGTCCTGCCATCGGACAACTGGTAGCCTAGCTACAACAGTATAACCACTTTTTTAAGAAGGTACTGAAGGTGATATTTCTTGCAGTACATTAGCCTTCCATAGAAAATATTCTTCTTGAATTTGTCTATGTCGAATAAAGAATCTTGCGAATGTGATATTTCTTGCAGTACATTAGCCTTATAGAAAATATTCTTCTTGAATTTGGCTATGTCGAATAAAGAATCTTGCATTCTTATTGAATATTTTGAGTGAACGATTCTCCCATAAGAGATCCTAAAATAAGTGCTTTACATTGATCCGACAAAGATATTTGTTTTTATTTTTTTACGAGACAAATTGATTGTTGACGTACGTGTTAAAGCGGTTTCCATATCTTCTATTGACTTTTTTGTTATAGTCTCTAAGGGATCCTTTTGCTAATATTTATCAAATCAACACAGGACTTCCCTTGGGATTGATTTGCACACTCTAATCTTGCGATTAGAGGGGACATCTTTGGCCATGTTTTGTTAGAGCTCTGTCGGATCTATCTCATCATGTTTGCTCCCTTTGCTTTCGCACCTCAGCGCCAGTAGAGACCCAGAAAGCTGCCTTTGCTTTTGGTGTTCCTTCTAGAAATTCCACTTTCCTCTATCTTACTCCAGTGAACATGTTTTGAAGGCATTCCACCAGTTGAGCTGGCGACTTTCACCACTTCACGCCTAATTCGCTGCCTACGTGCCCTTTACGCCTAGTCATTCCGAATAACTTCTCATTGACCACGACCTATTGGAACAAGGCTATTCGGCGCTTTTAATCCTGCTTGCATTGGTTCATGCACAGTTTTACGTGAAACCATCCTCGGAGCTTGGACTTCTACACGTCTTCGCTCTACAACGCCTAAAGCACCTTTTCCGTCAATAGGTACTCCTAACTCATCAACAACACGACCCAACATAGATCTTCGTACAGGAACATCTACAATAGATCCAGTACGTTTGACAATCGCTTCTTCTTCTTTAATGGCAGTATCACTACCAAAAAGCATAGAACGCCCGCCCTCAGAAACCACACGTGACAGTTTCCCATCATGCAGCTCGGCCCCCAAAACCTTAGCCTTGTTTGTGGGCTCGGAAAGGGAAGCTGACAAAGAGCTTCACTTCGCGTCTTCCGACTCTTAATTGTCCGGAATCAATCTCACGTGAAGCTAGAGCATTGTTTTCAATTCAAAATGAAAGCTATGCACATTGCATAATGATTTTTGATAAGTTTTGCTTCTAGTTTACCCAAGAAAGGGCGTAATTGCAAACTATAAGGAAAAAAAAACTGATGTAATTTGTCCGATAGTTACATAGGGTGCTTCCACAGGTTGACATCCAATCCAGCCTAAAGTAAACAATCTGCCTCAATTAATTAAAAACTTTTTTGATAAATGGGTCTAAAAGTTTGAATTTCATACATATGAAGTGTTAATAAAAGGTAAAGCAAATAGTGAAAAAAAGACAAGACCTATTGCAGCAACACCTCCTAATGTATTCGGTATACTACGAAGAATTGCATAAATAGGTAAAAAAAAAAAAAAAATGCCATTCTGGCACTATTTGAGCTGGAGTTGTAAAATAAATAAATAAGCCAGAGTGGCCTTCGCGCCCTTMTTTGACTCATTCTGACCCGCACGCGTTATTTCTTATCTAAAAGTTCACTGAGAACGAGTTGCGTCAATTCTCATATATGAATCGTCCTTCGGCCTTAAATGTCAAATAAGAGAGGCCTTCGAGGATAAATGCGGGTGCTGCCTCCAGCAAGCAGTTTCGAAGTTCGGGTTCAGGCGCCCACTTCCTTCACTGGCCTTGAGTGTGCGACGGACTAACTCAAGTCCGTCGATTTAGGCTCCTTCCCATCTGCTGATTCACTTAGTTTTCTGTCTCATTCGACCTGAGTGCCCCAGTCCCAGGCTGTCCCAGTAGGGTAGGCCGTAGGGTCAGAAAGCTGAAACGCCGTAGGTCTGTAGATGTTGGTGTTGAAGCGTCGTGGGTCGGTAGAAGTCGTCCGGTACCCGACAAGAAAAGTCCAGTCCAGTCCAACGGTCCCAAGTCCAGAATTTTGCAGCATGTCCCAGGAAAGTCTGGAAGCTACCAGACCGACAAAATGTTTGCAGCAGACTGGCCGCGGCCGGCCGGTACCGGTCTGAAGCAGGCCAAGCCAAACCGAATCTCATATTTAGCTGCTACGGTGCAGTGGCTCATCACTTGTTCAGTTGCGAGATGCGGAAGCACTGCTGCTCCTTGTGTGTTAAGGCAACTTGGGCACTGCGCGCCTGAAGAAGAAGCGTGTGCCCGCAAATTATTCCATACCTAGGTCTGGGGTAGCGTAGGAGGAGGGTGGCTATACCGGCCAAGGCGTACGCTTGCCTGAGTGGGTGTTGTATCCACGGTAATGATGAGAGAGAGAGAGAGAGAGAGAGAGAGAGAGAGAGAGAGAGAG